GGCTGCCTCTACCTCTGAGGGGTCTTGGAAATAGGAAGAAATACCTTGCATCCAATTATAACATGATATAATGGATATTACATTAGCATTGCTACCTGAGAGCATGGTTCTTGGTTGGAGATACCACCTCCAGAAAGAGAGATTTAGGGAGGGATGTATAACATCCCATTGCCTTTGGGCTGACCACCCCTACGTTGGCATAGGCCAAGCATAAAAATGTTTTATTTCTAAAAAAGAAGAATTTCCCTTCCTCTTTCTCTTCCCACCTCCCTGCTGGATTATGCATACCAATGTCTAATTCCACTTCTGACTCAATGCAAAACTTTTAGTGGATATACAAATGTGGCTTTACCATGTCATTTTGCAGCATATCATGTCCCCTGAGGCTGTTGTGGATAAGCCAAGAGACCAAGCCACAGTTAGGGTTCAGCCACAGGCACAAATCATGCCCATGCCTGACTCTCACCTGGCGTTAGCAATCATTTTCCACATGGAAGCTGACCAGGGCCACCACCTGTCTATGGAGTTTTCTGAGTTCCAGAAAGAACATATGGCTGGGGTGTTCTGCTCTTGTTTCTTAGGCAAGACACATGGTGCAGGCATGTGTGATTGTCTAAAGCACTTGGGTTATGAAGCCCAACTCATGTTAAAGCCTTTTATTTCTTTTCTGAGCCATGATATCTTTGTTGGATGGATATGCATCAAAATAGCATTTTAGATTAGAAAGTTAGCTATACATGTTTGTCATGTTTGGGAAATTTTTCCTATATTCACTGTTGCTTTCTCTTACTGTAGTTTAGAATGAAATCTTTTTCAACTTGAATGAAATTGGTGGCTGTCTGCTCCCATCTTTACTGAGATAATATTCTACCCAGGATCCTGGCTTTCCTGAATCTTCTTCTTAAGCCATTTACTTTGATCTGATTCAGTTTTAATTTAAAAGTTGTTTTTGACTGGGAGAAGAATGCAGGATGATAGAGAATATAGATTATAAAGAGTTGACCATATACCTTTTCCTACTTTCAACAGTCATAGATCTCAGTAGAAGTAAAAAGAAGAAATTTTTAAAAGTGAAAGAAATAGTATATCTCTGTGTATGTGTGCTTTACATAAACTATAAACCAAAGATATTGGTGGAGGTTGGTGTAGGAAAGATGTAGGTTTATGGGCAAAGGACATTACACCAGTGGTCCTCAGAGTGGGTCTCAGCATCGCTGGCAACTGGGAGTTGGTTCTGAGAAATGCAAATACTTGGCTCTATCCTTCGATCTACTGAACCAGAAACTCAAGGATGGAGCCCAGAAATCTGTACATAAAAGATGAGTAACTGTGTAAATGTGCTTTTTATATATGATGTTGAATACAATATTTAACTTTTAAGCAGCTGGAGGGAACACTCTCACCTGATGTGGCAATGCATTTTTAGATATTCTGGAATTAGTATTTCAGGAACCTGTAACCAATAGACAAAGTAAATTATAAAAATAAAGAAGTGAGCATTTGGTTCTATCCCATTAGTGGTTAGCATAATGGCAACTGAGCAGAGCACAGGCTTAGTATCTAGCATTTAAGGAGCACATCATCCTCAATCATGTGAAAGCGATAAAAGATCTAACTTATGTCTCATAAAGATACAAAACTAAGTGAATATATTTTTTTCAGCAAGAATTTTAAAATGTTAATTTTATGTTGAAAACACATGTGTGCATCTCATTTTAGCTGACATGTAGTCATGGCTCATAAGTACCCGAAAAACCACTGCAAGGATTGTGAGATACTTTGTTACATTTCATTGTATGAAGTTTTGCATGAACTTCAGGTTTTGTATGAAGTTTTCTGGAATCAGCCACTGGATTAATTGTCTCAACAAATTAGAAGATATGACATCACCACATTCAGATTTGAATAAACAAGGAGTGATGTAAATGTGATTCATGTAAATATGGATGAGTTTATGTAAATAATTTGATTTATGCTTCTTCCTCTCCTCTCTGTTGCAAAAATGAATATTAAATATGACTATTCACTATATTTAAAATCTCTACAACTTGGTGTTTGCTAAATTGAAGTTCAATGAAAACTTCTTAAGTTAATGAGACTGCTAGGTATACTTTATTAAGGAAATAAGTGTCCTGCAGTTAAGCTATCTGAAAGATTTTGGTGGAGTTGTATTACTGTGCCCTGTGTTTTGAAACTAAGCATAAAGTTCAATGTGAAATCAATTCTGGGGCATGGCAAATCTATCTTGTGCATGTTGCTAATCTCTGCTCATCCATGGCCTTAGTTCCTCACTTTTTTGGCATCTCTACAGATGTCCACATCTTTGGGTGACGATACAGTGGACATGTGTTGTTGTTGGGTTTTTTTTTATCCTCCTGGGAGGACATTTTTTCATTCCTTTTAGGGAGAGAGGAAGGGAGAGAGGAAAGGAGAAAGAGAAGAATCGATTGATTGTGTCCTAAATGTGTCAGGACCTGGGGGTTGCATGCACCCATGCCTGGATGAGGGATCAAACCCGCAACCTAGGTATGTGCCCTGATCCACAATGAAACCCACAACCCCCAGTTATGTGAGGACACTCCAACCAACTGAGCCACACAGGCCAGGGTGACACATGGATTTTTATTTATCAAAGAAAAGTTGGCTAAATCTACCTCATTCCTGCAGATGTATAATAACACACAGCCGGATATTTGGAAACATTTCAAAGATCCATTGCACTGTTTTCATACAAGAGTTCTGGTGTCAGATAGATGGTGTATGTGTATGTGTCTTGAGCTATTGTAGAAAATATCAAAATAAATGATAGTTATTAATTAGTATGAGACTACTCATAATCCACCATCGAAGTACCCCATCTACTTCAAAATAGTTGATGAAGTACATCAGAATACTTGGATAATTACCTATTAATAGGATAATTATACTGTTTTGAGGATGAAAATAAATCTTGCAAAGAACATCACCATCACCAATTTTCCACTTCTATTTTTCCCAATAATCTGAATATTTTCATGAACAATTAGGTAAAATTCTAAGACTTACAGTTGGTTATATTTATTGCAAGTTGGATGTTATTTTCATTTTATATGCCCCAGTTGAAAACTTCCTGGACTTTACAATACTATTACCACTCCCCTGACCCTGCTTTTTCTTTTTAACTCTTAGGCTTTTCTTTGAAGCCCGAGTGCTTAAAATGAGTTCAAATGTACTGTGCCATTTGGGATAGAGAGAACCTCAAATCCCTAGCATGTAAATTTATGACCGGAAACAACAAATTCCAAAGCAACAGACTTAGGATAACATAATGAGCAACCTCCAGGTCTTTATAGGTACATGTTTTGTACCTATAGAAGTGTGCTCTCCCTAAAAAAGTAGGTCAGCACTTTCCTTTGGCAAGGGGAAAAGCCATCTGAAAATGTCCCATTGTGGCCTCTCACTGTACCTGAGGCCACCTGGAGGGCATGTGTATGGACAGCAGGCCTGGGTCAAGTTGACAATTTGACGATTCCCAGAAAAAGAAAATATTCTGGAGGTACCTTTTTGTGGGGTCAACTAGGATGCGTTCAGGAGGAGGTGCAAGCTCCAGTGTGTGCCTTCCCTTGTTTGGGACAGAGACATCCCCCTCATTCATGAGATCACAGCCTGGGTAGTTTACTGAAACTGGCACATCCCAGAAAATTGCTGAGAGAGTTTTTCTGACGATACTGCCAGGTTTGGGATAGTAATAAAAAGTTCTTCCCTCATACCCATCTCAATCTCTCCCAAAGGAATCCCAGCACAGTGGAAGCAGTGTAAACAGCAACATCAGCAGTTCTACATTGCTGATGGCCAGCTCATTTGGAAGCACGTTCTCAATCAACAGTTCAAGACACAATCCATGCATGGCTGAGATCTGAGCAGAAATCAGCCAAATGCTCAGAAAGGAAATCTTCACAGTTCCTAGGTTTGCAGTCATTGTGCATGGAACATGGGAACTCTACCTCATCCCAGAATTTTGTCCCTGAGACAAAAAATCTGGTTTCTAAAGATTTCACAGCAAATGTGTTTTTTTAAAAAAAAAAAAAAAAAAAAAAAGCAAACTTTAGATCAAATGTCTTTGGTTAGAGTAAAACTAATTAAGTAAAACTAATTAAAACTGGTATAACAAAATACTTCATGTGAAAGGATCTTATGCTTTATAAGCACCAATCAGCATAATGAAAATTCCCTGTTCGACGTCCAGAATATACTTACAAAAATGCACAAATAAGGCAGTAAAATATTTTTAGATGTAAACACTCAAAACAAAGCTAAGTATCTAGTATTTTTCTATCACCTGAGAATACATTTTTAAATACAGTTAAATAAAAGTTGGTGCCATTCTTCTTCTAGTTCTTATAAATCAATTAATGTTGAGTTTTAGGTGGGAACCTGACTTGTTCATTCATCTCATTTCACTTTAAATGTGGGTAATTATTTCTTGAGAGTCATGCAGGGCAAGAACATGATTTGTTGTGACTATATGTTACTGTCTCTTTTAAAGAACTGGGTTTGAGGAAGTTTTAATTTTCATAATTAAAAATGAGTAAAATCAGACAGGATGGTGACCTTGAGCACTACTGAAGGTCATCAGTACTGGCATGCTCTTCCTCTCATGTCCAGCTAAAATAAAGAAACTTAATATAATGTAACATGTATTCTACAGGACAATAGGTCGAAAGACCATCCAAGATTTAGAGGGGACCCATGATTTGACACTTCATACTTGTAATCCAGCAGACTGTATACCAGTTTTCTACATAGCTGGTATGTAGAAAGCATACCAGCTTTCTAGGCGAGTCCACTCAGAAACAGAAGGGCAGATACCTGGCCTCTTGGTGACTGCAACCTTCTCCCTTTGTATATGTACTCTTCAGTGTCAAACAGATACTACTCCAGAATCCAAGGAGAAAGTAATGTGCACTGATCAAGGAAGGATACAGAACAGAGAAGTTTATTTTACACTATCTGTCCAAGAAAACAATTGCCATAAACCAGTGCAAAATGTGCAACAGAATCAATAAGTGTGTCTTAGCTCTGAGAGCCTAAATTGGTGATTTCCTCTCCCAGTGCTCCATTAGGCAGGTACCCCATTGGCTAATGCTCACCTTGTTCACACTCTTGACAGAGACATTCAACCAATTTGTAGCAGGTTATTTTTACAATTCATACCAGAATGTGTACAAGGGACGGGGAAAACCATACTGAATGAATTGTAAGTGATCAGTGCTTAAAGTAAATATAGGGGGAGCGCGGGCAAGAATCCACAGTTTCAATAAATACAAGTATAACAAGCATGGGTGGGTCTCAACTGGTGGAATTAGTCTGCATAATAATTCAGCATTATACAAAATCTAGCAGGGCTGTTGAGCTGTGATTGGCTACAATGTTCACAATAATTTATGCCCTTGAGCAAGTCTGCATTTAACACATTCTGTGGTTTCAAAGATGTCAGTTCTACTTTCTCCTTCCCTTGCCATCCTTCCAGGAGGGGACAGATTGAGCTGGGACAGCTCGGCCATGGCATCCTGGAGGAAGGACGCTGGCCCAAGAGCCAGCTGTCAGGGTCCAGTGTACTCAGTATCGAGTGGCAAATTGGGACTTTATTGACGATGTCTGTGCAAAGTGCGCTTCTCTCCATTTTCCAAGAAACCAGTGTCTGTAACTCCTGCACAGAAAGCAGTGGTGGCCTCTGAGTCACTCCCTGTCACCCCAAATGTCAAGCCATGAGAGCACATCTCAGGTACTCACAGGTTGAGAAGCTTCTGCTGCTGACTACCTGGCATGTCACAGATGGATGTTTAACCAGGGCCCCTCGACAAAGGCCTCATGAAGGCTAGAACTATTGCTTGAGAGACTAGAAAGAACCTGATGAGAAAGTGAAGGTCATAATGGACATGTGGGAAGCTGTCTTCTTTCTTGGAAAACCTTGCACCCCTTAGGTAACACTTACAGGACTCTGGGAGCATCCTTGAGTATGAAATGTCATATATCTGTTCCCAGTGGCCTCGCTCAGCTCTTCCTCTAATAAGCATTAGATCCACTCATGTTCCAACACACATGGGATTTGATCCCAAGACACAGCGGGCAACCTGTGGATCTCCTACTAACCCAGAGCCCAGTGGAAGAAGATGCAAGAGGAGCTCTCCATCTCTGGAAGGAAGGAGTCAAAGGGAGAGCACCTCCTCCCCTGCAAAGTAAAAGAACCCCCCAAACCCAATAATCTAGAAATCACCTCAAAACATAACAAAACCCCTAACACTCTCTATAATCAATGTACCCTCTCCTCATTAACTCTTTAACAGTCTCAGGTCATAAATTAGGTTAGTCTTTCATCCAATAACTTAAAAAAGGAGTAGGGATTGTAATAAGATTTGCCTGGCTTGGGCCAGTTAGCAGCCAGTTTTCTAGAATCTCAGTCACTGTTCAAAATGGAGCTTGAAAATTCAGGTGGATGGTGAAAGTCTTCATATGGAGGCGGCAGGAAGGGTTGGGCAAGAGGGGCTGGGTGGCAGGGAGAACACAAGGAGGTGGAAGAAGGAAGGGGCAGGGAGAGCCTGGGCCACCGAGGCAGGAGTGGAGGCCAGTGAACAGCGCGAGTGAGACGGAAGCCCCAGCTCTGGGGGCCCCTGTGACTCGGGGTGCGTTCGGGTCTTGTATTGCACAGAAACGAAGGAACTGAGCCTTGGCAGGTGGCTCGGTAGATCAGTGTTCCCCACACATGGGCAAGTTCACAAAAGTGAACACGTTGAACTCCGTCATGATGGAGAAGCACAGGAACACGCCATACAGGAAAAGGCACCCGCACCCGAGCTTCTTGTCCAACTGCCACTTGTTCAAGTGAACACCGAACACCTGTAACACACAGAGGATTCAGAGGGCAGCAGGCAGAGAGGGCCGGGTAGGGCACTGATGCTTTCTGGGCCCACAAAGTCCATTTGCACATTGCGGTATGTAAGAACATCAGAATCAAGAAGAGGTGAAGTCAGAACCTGCTGGTTGTGGGAAAGTCACTTTAAAAAGTCATGAGGATGGGAGTAACAAACAGTCATAGCAGCCCCCACTCCTCCCCTGGATTCCAACCCTCCACCTCTCTGTGCTGGCACCACCTGGGATGACACTTCACCCTCTTGTCCCAAGCAGACCCTGGCTCTCCCTGAGGACACCAACCCACAGGTGGTGGCTGCATCTCTTCAAGTCCCTGTGCCTGGACGCCAGGAGGTTGTTCCTCTTGCTCTTCATTGCTGCTTCCAAACCCTTTTCCTTTTCCCCTGAAAAGCCCTGGGCTTGGAACTAAAGTCTCCTGGCTGTCACACTCTACTCTCCTAGTTGTAGTCAACCCTGGGCACTCCTGGCATTCCTCAGAGCCCTGAGTTCCCGCTCACCGCCACTCCTGTTATTGGAACTCCTGTTGTCCTCAGTGACTTAACTATGCACCAAGAAGATCTTCCCAATACATTTCTCTGAGTTCTTGTCCTCCACCCGATCTTAACCCCTCACTCCCACACCACATCCTTGACCTGTGCTGCAACCATTAGCTACATGTAGCCATTGAGATTTAAATGTAAATCAAATAAAATTAGAAACTTAATTCCTCAGTTGCACTAGCCACATTTCAAGTGCTTAATATGCACAGGAGGCCAGTCGTTACTGTCCAGAACAGACAAAGGACATTGCCAGCATTGTGGAAAGTTGTATTGGGCAGCCCTGCAGTGTAGAGCTTCTCAAACATCCCACTTTCTGCCAGCGATCTCTTGTTTTCCCTGCTTGCTCCATTCTGGTACACCAACTCCCAGAATTCATTTGAACCACCACTGCTTAACTGCACTTCACACATCTTGCACCCCTTTGCCTCCTTACCCATCTAAGTTCCTCCACCAGCAATTGCTATAGGCACTCCTGGCAGCCACTGTCATTCTCTGTAGCTTTGTCGTCCCTGCTGGCTAAGCCATAGCCCTTTGGTTTAAGCTACACTTCCATCTACTCCAGGCTACTTCCTTGCAGCTGACTCAAGCTGGAGGAAAATGCCAGCCAGGCTGATGGGTCTCATTTTAAATTTAAGACCACAAACCTTAAGTGAGCCATAACACCTTATGGCAATAATCCCACATTTCCTAGTCTACCATTTCTCCCTTTCCTACATGGCTATTTCACCCTTTTCTCTCCTCGAACCCCCAACACTCCTTTCTCTACTCTCACTCTCAGCTCATGACCTTGATCCCATTTCACAGAGCTCCTACCACCACATCTACCTGCCCACCTTTTTTCCTGTTAATGAGGACCCACTGTCCATGGTCTGGTCCACAATGCTGTCCACAGCCCACTCCTCCTCATCAGCATGACATACCACCTCCTTTTGCTGCTTAAGAAAATGATTCCAGCAATTGCCTTTTATCTCCATCCTCCCACCCCATCCCTGGATTATTCCAAATAGCATACAAGAATGCTGCTTGTTTTGTCATCTATACTTTTTCTCGATTTCCGTTCTCTCCTTTCTTTACAGAAAGATAACTTGAAAAAAATGTAAATAGCAGCTGCTTCCAATTTTTTTTCCTTCCATTCTCCATCAACTTATTCTACTCAACCTCTGCCTCATTACTCTGCAAGCCACCTTGTCAAGAGCACCGATGACTATATTTCTAACCCTAATGGCCAATGCTCGGGACTCCTTTCCCCCTGCAGAGCTTTTCCTCTTACACTTCTGAATGCTCTTTCTTTGTTTCTTTTGGGGTTTTTGCCTCATCATCCTGACTCAGGTCTTGGGGCTCCTCTCTTTTCTGTCTATGCTCACTCCCTTGGTGAACTCACCCAACTGCATGGTATGAAACACCATCTACATCCTGGTGTCTCCAGCTTGGACGTTTTTCCTGAACTCAGACTTTCCAGTGGCTTTCTTGACCTCCTCCTTTGAATGTCAAATAGGCACTTCAGGCATCTGTTTGAAATTCTTCTTGTTCTCCAAACTTACTCAGTCTTTCAACAGCCTCATTGAGACAGCCCAGCTAGTGGTTAGCCAGATTTCCCTTAAATTTTGCAACTATGCACAGTGCAAGGAGAAGCATGGTGCTACGAGCACACGTTCTGTGAGACAGCTTGCCTCTCCATCATTTAGTTTCAACTTCTCTATTGTCATCAATACAATGGAACTGATATTAGTGACTACTTCACTGAGGTGTGGTGAGCTCCAAATGAAAAAGTGTATGCAAAACATTAAGCACAATATGTGGCTATTGTAAGTATCATAACCCTAAGTCATATGGCCTGAAGAACCTCTAAACTACAAAAGAATAAATTATATAGATTTTCACTTTTGTGTAAGGCAGTATTAACTTTAACATTTGACTCCCATCTTGATGTCATAAATTACCTCTCCAGCTTCCTGCCTGCACCTCTGAATTCCCATTCTCTATCATATGTATGTTAACATCCTAGGTATAATTCAGTAAATATTTCCTTGAAAGTTTCAGGAAAAAAACACCTGTTGTCTCAATGTTTAGTATGGATATTCAACAGCATACTTGTATGTTAGTGGATTTGTTATGTGGGTAAGTCCAAGTGTTGGTACAAATTTGTTTGAACCATATGTGTCAGTTGGGTTGAGATATTAAATTATACAAAGGGATATAATGGCCAAGATAGTAGAATGGCATAAAAGTAAATTGTCAATAGAATATATTCTTAGTTGCTGAGTATTGATCAAACCCATGGATTTATGAAGATGTTTAGTAAACTGGAATAGTCAATTAGTTGAAATCTACCTTTCTGTGACTAAATTTGCAGTGAAAGTGGGATCTCCTCTTTGTTTTTGATAAAATAATTTGTGGTTGACATGAGACAGAGCCATGCTTCTGAGAGGAGGCTGCCTCTTTTTCATAAGAGAGAGAGGCCCTTCTAGTAGGTTGCTGGGATCCACTTCTAGAAGAGACAGTTACAAAAGACACAGAACATCTGAAGGCCAATTGTCCTGATCCACCAGGAGGCCAAGCCCATCTGGTGTCCAGACAAACTCTGTAGCCAAAGAATCCCAGGGAGTCTGGAGGGGGGAGAACATGGAAGCTCGAAAGTGAAGAGAGAGCTGCAAACCTACCGTGACAAAGACAGAGGCCAGCAGCAGGCCCACGGAGTAGATCAGTCCTCTGCTGTTCAGCCGTATCTGTAACAAAAGGATCAAACAGAATTAGCATTCCAAAAAGTCATGTGTTTAGTGTGTGGCACTCAAGAATCTCTGAGTGAGTCCAAATCTCTCCTCTAGGAGGAAAAAAAAAGGTGGCTTCTGCAGCCATGCTATGCAGTTTGTAGCAGAAACGTGATCTTTCCTAAAACACCCAGTGTATGTCTTGGTCTGGTCTACTCTCAGCCCAGATTCATGCTTCCCTCCAGTAGTGGTGGCTGCTGCACTGCTCATGGCCTCTTGAATTCTCCATGTGTGTTGCCCAACTCTTGTTGCCCACAAGACTTCCCTGTGCATCTCACCTCCAGGGAGTTTCATAAGTTTCACAGCATGAGTGATAGAGCAATATTTTGAAAAATATTGCTAAAATTTTTATCTCTTTTGCATTAAAATGTCTGTGACCTTCACCCTAACTTGATACAAAGAGGTGGGTGAAGGTTGCAATCATGAGCAAGCAAAGAGGAAAGATTTAACATTCTGTTTCTGATATACATAAAAGGATTTTGTTTTGTTTATTTTTCACAATAATACAGTGGGGCTAACAGCCAAACTTTGAAGAGAAAGAAACAATTTTTGTATTTATTATAAAACAGCGCTGTCCAGTAGAACTTCCTGCAGTGATGGAAACATCCTACATCTGTACTGTCCCATGTAGTAGTCATTAGGAACATGTGGCTGTTCAGCACTTGAAAGGGGCTCATGCAACAGAATAACAAAAATTTTAAACTTATCTTTAATAAAATTAAATTTACATTTAAAGAGCTACATGTGATTAGCGGCTACAATACTGGGCAGAGCAAGTGGGGAATATTAAAGGGCCAAGCTGGCTGAAAAAGACCATAGTGTTTCTTCTGTGGTGTAGAGAGGATGCCCCTTTGCTTTGACCTAGGTCATGAGGCCATGGCCCTGAAAGTGGAGGCTTGCCTTAGAGCAGCTGTGCTCACAGGTGTTCTGTGGACCAGCAGCAGCAGCAGCATGACCTGGGGGCTGGTTAGCAATGCAGGCTCTCAGTCCCCACCTGATCTCCTATATCAGAAACTGTGAGGGTGGGGCCCATCAACTGTTTTAACAAACCCTCCAGGGGCTTAAGACCACTGACTTAGAGAAAGTATTGTACTAAAGCTAAATATGGTTCTGGGAGTGGGCCTTTGACATTCATTTTTCACCAGTTCTCTTGGAAAGTCTTCTGTGTATACAGGCTTGGAGACCACAACATTCTGCCCCGCCCGCCTCCCCCCCCCCCACCCCGGCCCCTCAATGTATACTGTAGTGCTGTGAGTCAAAGGCTCACCTGTGTTCACAGAAAGAAAAGTGAGGCACGTTGATCATTTACATCAGAGAACAAAGTGGTGATTATTAGGAGTGGTTTGGGGTCCTTCTGACATGGTCCAAGGTACTTCTCGCCCCTCTTTCACCAGTTCATTCCTGGAGTGTAGGTATGGGAATAAGTGGGTGTCTCTATAGGTGGGTGTGCCTGGTTCATCTTTTGGTAACAGGACACTGCATGCCCGAAACAGCGAACTCTTTTTGTGTGAACAGGGAGCATAACATCTCACTAAGCAATGTTCACTGGACTCTCTCCTTTGCTTGCACAATCAGTGTGAACTAACCATCTGCTCGGCCCCAATCACCAAATGCCTTCTTAAGAACTAAAGACTCAAATCTTAGCTCTTTGACACTAGAGCAATAGGTTGACCCAGTGAATTCAGTGTGGAAAAATGAGGAATCAGCCACCCCATCCAGCTAGTAGCTGAACTTCCTGCCGACGCTTAGCCTGTGCATAGTGTTTCCTTCTTTCATCAGTTTTGATGGAATAAAGAGGCTAATACCCATGAGTACATGAAAAATGCTCGTGCTGAAAGAGATTCTCTGCCCCCAGAGTATTCTGTCCCACTAACTCTGACAATTCCACACAAACCTTGGCCAGCGTCTAAGGGGAGAGAAAGGTTCCTCAGAGCAAGACGGCAGCCTCATGCAGAACGAGGAAGAGTCTGCTGGGGCTGTCCTAAGTCATGTGGTCCTTGGGTCCACACACTCAGAACACACACTCAGAAACCCTTTGGGTTCTTAATTTTAACACTGCATGGATTCTTCTAAGAATGGGGCCAGTGCACTCCCAGCCCATCTCAGGAGCTGGGAGTGCACTCCCAGGAGCTCCAGGGTCGAATCCTTGTTGGCAACAATGGGTGAGTAGAATGATTTCCTGCCCTTAAGAAATCAAGAGCCAGTGACAGCAAAGCTGCAAGCAGGAAAATTCTTTGGTGAAGCTTTTTCAAATGAGTCATGTTCAAGCATGGCTTTTAACCTTTACTTTTTCTACAGTCACATGATGTCTTAAAGAACAGTGCTGCTGAAATTCTAAACATGGCTCTAAAGAATAAATACAACAAACTTTTGTGTGGTTTCTGAGCACTTTTCACCTTTTCTCTGCAGCTTCCTTTAGTAAGGGGCTAGCACATGTGCCCAGGGTTGCATTTGTTTGTTATTCTTTTTTCTTTTTTTATCCTCACCTGAACACATTTTTTTTTCATTGTTTTTAGAGAGAGAGAAAGGGGAGGAGGGAAAGAGAGAGAAAGACTGTGAGAGAGAAACATTGATTAGTTGCCTCCTGTACACATACCGACTGGGGATCAAACCCGCAACCTTTTGGTGCACAGGATGACACTCCAACCTACTGAGTCATATCGACCAGGGCTTGTTTGTCATTCTTAATTAGGAACCTGGGCTCTTTAAGCCTGTATTGATTCCTTGCTATTTGAATCCCATACTTCCACATGGAGGCGACAGTCAGGAATTAGTGTTCTTTTAGTTGCCTCTGGTCCAACGTGAAAGCCTCCCAGCCACTGGTAGCCATGGTGGTTTGGCACAAGAGTTGGCAAACTATAACCCATGGGCCAAATCTGGCCCACTGCCTGTTTTTGTAAATAAAATTTTATTGGCACTGAGCTCACTCATTAATATATTGTCACAGCTGCTTTCATGCTACAATAGCAGAGCTGAGTAGTTGGACAGAGACTGTATGGCCCATGGCCCACAACGCTTAAAACATTTCCTCTCTGTCCCTTTCCAGAAGAAGTCTGCCAACGCCTGGTTTAGGGCATAGGCTCAGTCCCAGCCTCCTGGTCTCTGAATCCCTGTTCAGTAACTCGCTTGCTGTATAGTCATGGACAAGTAAGGACTTGACTTCCCCAAGCCTCAGATTTCTGATGTGTAAAATGGAGATAATACATTTCATACTTTATAGGGTGGTTGTGAGGATTAACTGAATTAATCCAGGTTAAACTTGAGCAGGATCTGGTGGAGAATAAATTCTCGGTAAATGTGGGCCGTTACTCTCCACCCCATCTGGAACTGCATATGTCCACTTCCCTGTCACCCCTGGCTGCTCCTTTATGTAGATGACAAACACGGAGAGTGGGGACCATGTCTGACTTTATCCTACACCTGGCACAGGGCTGAGCACAGACCATGTGCTTAATATGTCACTGGTAAGTGAATAATGAGTACTCTTGTGGTAGCATTTTGAATGTGGTTTACAAAAGGGCCATTGTTTCTGTGGGGCAGGGTGGACTGGTCAGAGAGAGGATGGCAGCAGAGAGACCTTGGATGCCACTCTTGGATGATGTTCCAGAAGCAATGTGACCACTGCTCAATATTCGCTGTCACCTGTCCCAATGTTTTATGAGCATGTACAGCTTGTTTTTACTCAGCATTTTATTATGAAAGTTTTCAATCATTCAGTAAAGTTGAAAGATACTATCTTAATTTTATTTTTCTAATTTTGTTTGACTGTTCTTATTATTAATTTTAAATATTTTTTATAGTTATTCTATTACAGTTGTCCTAATTTTTCCCTCTTTGCCCTCCACTGCCCATCCCACCCCCTGCTTCCACAGTCAGTTCTCACACTGTTGTCCATATCCATGGGTCATTCTGAAAGATATCTTCTTATTTTTAATGAACTGCAATGTAAGCTGCAGATACTAGTACACTTCGTTCCTAAACACTTCATTCGGCATCTGTTAGGTGTTAAATAGGGTTCATTTGTAGTTCATGGGTATTTTACTTTTAGATACAATTTCCATATGGTGAAATTCACAAATCATAATTTCACCATTCAGTGTGTTATGAGAAACACATACACCCATGTAACACAAACTGCAGCCGTGACTTATAGTGCTTCCATTCCCCCCAGAAAGTTCTCTTGTCCTCTCTATCTTGTCCAGGGACAATCACTGCTCTAAGTATCTCTGCCATAGGTTGGTTTAGTCTGCCTTAGAAACTTCATATAAATAGAATCCTAGACTGTACACTCTTTAATTTTAGAATTCTCTTAAAGAGTCTGTCATGTTTTTCATTGTATCAACAGCTCATTCCTTATACAGCATACCAGTTTGTTTAATTATTCTCCTGTTGATGGACATCTGGGCTGCTTTCAGCTTTGGACTATCAGCACGTATTGATTTTATAAGTCACAAGCAAAATGAAAAGAGACCTACAATAGCTCCTTCTCACCAGTAGGAGAACTATTAATGCAGAGAATAAACACAGCTAGGGACTCTGCTGAGACCTCAGAGGCTCACTCTCACACCCTAGCATCCTGTCTGTAGGAGGGTACCCAGAGCTTCTCTAAACTGCAGTTCACCTTTCCCACCTCGGCATGCTTCCATCTCCCTTTTGGCACCTTCTGTCTAGTCAGATAGGACACTCACCTCTTTTCCACTTCTACTCTGCCCATCTCTCCCAAAGTCCTTTCACCTCTTTTAAGTTTGATAGGACTTTGCCGGCCCTATCCCTCATCTGAAGCTGATCTTGGTCACATTCTTTGCCTGTGTCACCTTTTTACTTCCCTAGCTAGTTCTAATGCAGAGGGCAGATACCTGGGCCCTAAGTCTTTCCTCATGCCACGTAGCACCTAACTTCCCCACTGGCCCCACACATCAGGTTTAAATGAACATTTGCAGGTGATGCTGGGCATGCGT